ACGAACTTCCACATTAGATCATCCAAAAACAAAAATAACATGTAACAAGATACAACAATCTTAATTTTCATGAACATCAGATGTACCTGCAGCAGCAGCTGCCACAGCACCAGCAGCTAACATTGCTGAAGCTGGAGGGGCCATGTCAAAACCACTAATCCTTTTGCTGCAAAAGAATGAAGTTTGGTACTAGGAAGTCAGGGATGACTGATGAGAATATACAACTACATATTTTCTACTAATAATCAAGTTCTTATGAGCTACCTCTTTGAGCGTGAGCGTGAGCGTGAAATGAGATCTTGACTTTGATCTGCGCACAGATCTACTCCTTGAGTGGGATCGGGATCGGGATCGGTGCCTATGCCTATCCTCCCTGTCTCTATAATAGTCCCTTCTCCTGCAAAATAACATTTCAGCAAAAATAACTCATTAACCAATAAAGACAATTAACAAAATGGCAAAAATGATTCATATTACTGCTGATATTACCTGCCATAATCTCGACTGCAGTAATAATCATCATCATCATCCCTATCTCTTCCCCGATCCCTTCTCTCACTGCGTTCCCTACTACGATCCCTATGACGATCTCTGTGATGGCGTTCACAGTCGCGATCCTTTTCTTGGTCCCTATCCCTATCCTTGTCCCTGTGACGATCACGATCCTTGTCACACACTCTCTCTCTTTCCTTTTCCCTGCTTCTAGAGGGGTCTCTCTCAAAATCCTGGGGCCCATAGGTTGCATTTAATCATATCACTAACTGCCAAAGTAAATTTGCATGTAATTCATAACACTAAAAGCCCAAATGTAGAACAGGCATAAAATTAGCACCAAGAAAGTTATTTTGGAAGAGAAAACCTAAACAGGTATAAAATTCACACCAAGAAAGTTAATTTCCAAGAGAAAACCTTACTTTCATTGTAAATAATAAACTTTGAAGTTCGTACAGCATATTTACTTGCATATATCTCAGAACAAAACTGAGCAATAAAATTTTATTGAAAACACCACTTGTCAAACTAGCCAAATTCTATGAGGAATAAAGAAATGAAAATCTAATTGGGTGTACATACTAAATGTATAAAATAAGAAAGAACACCTGAAAAACATAGTTGATGGAGATATAAACATATATGATTGCCCAACCCAAAAAAACGGGTTATAATTACTCCTATCTCCACAATCATATGGGATAAAAACAGGAACGATAAAACTGAAGCACGATGTTACTTTAGTTCTGAGAAACTCATGTTTTAAAAAACCTGATCTGTACAGAAGAAAACTCTTGATTTTATAAAATATAACTCATTTTCTGACGTGTATGTTATTGGACGTAAAAGATATTGCTATCAGTCAAACTACCCAAATTTCAAGATACACACACACACGCACACTAATTCAAAGAAAGCCTTGAAAACCCCAATTACAGTAAAATATATACATACAAAAAACTCCATTTCTCCAATTGCTAGCTTTCTGCAAATATTTCTATTTCCTATTTACTCCTTAAGAAGTTTACTGAAAAGGAAAGGCAAACGATACAAAGTATAATCACAATTGATTAAAAAAGACTAAGATGAAACACTAATTATGTAGTAGTTCAAGAAAAAAATGCATATTACATATTATACATTTGGTTTTCTTATCCATTCATAATTTTTCCATTTTTGGGCTAAAATAATAACAAAAAATTCAAAAATTTCAGCGAAGAAATTCCAACAAAAACCTACAAAATCCTTCAAACATGAACCTAAAAACAATTAAACATCTGAAGAGGCGAAATTAAGCTAAATTTATCGCGATCTAACCTGATGATTAAAATCGTTTAGATAATCGGAACGAGACCTGGGAGGAGAACCTCCGCCATGACTGTTTTCGAGGTGATCTCCGTTTCCTTGATACCGCACTTCTTCGTAATCAGTCATTTTCTTCTCCGATGCTTTGGTCGGAAATCTGTTAAGTTCGAATCCCCAATTGCGAATTCCCGGAATCCCAAACTCGCTTTGTCGGCTGGAAGGAGGAGGAGCTAGCAAGTAAGCAAATTAGGGCTTCGTTTTCCCTTCTATTTAAATTATGGAATTGGGGATTGTGAACTTGGGTTTTTCTATATATAAAAAAAACTGGGTTTAATAAATAGTTCAGTGTCAGTACGGCCCATATAAAAAAAAGGAGTATACCTTGGGATTTCTCTTATCATCGTTTTGGGCCCTTCCCTTTAAAGAAATATTCATTCTCTATTCTTGTTAGGGTGTAATTAATAGGGATGAAAAAAATAATTAAACTCGATAGATTTTGACCTAATCCGATAATATTAGATTAACCTAAATTTTTAATTTTAACTAATGTCTCACTTTAATCAATTAATATATATTACTTGAACTTAAAAATCATCATATACATTAACATAGAGAATTAATTTTATTTCTAAAGATATGTAGTGTTCATTGATTGGTCAGAGGTAACACATTAATAAATTTCGATATCCAACGATCGGTTAGAGGTGACACATTAACCGGGCACCCAAGGTTAATTTCATTTGCCAAATGGGTCCATAAATATTTCGGTGTAAGCTAGTTACCTAACTTTAGAAGTACAAAAATAAAGTAACCTAATTCATAAAAATGCATAGTATATAGGCCTTTTAAAGAATTAAACCAAAAAGGTGAGTCAAATTGATGGGATTAACATAAAGATGGTCACACGAATCAATCGACTTCGGTAGTAGAAGAACTATTGTTATTCATTGAGGTGTCGGATTCGAGCACCAGAAACACCAGAGATGTGAGCATTCAACGTCAAATAATTGAGAGTTATTTTGAATAAATATTACCTTATACTCACACAGATGAATAAAAAAACATGAAGGTGTCCTTTGTTTAATTACATAACAGGTAAAATTAGCTGTGAAAGCCCAAAATCAAGCCATAAAATATGGTTTCAGCTTAAAATAAAAGGCCCGCATTCCTTACAGAAATGGTCAAATAGCCCAACTGTTTAGATTCTCCATTTATTTTTTGAGGTATTGTTTCTATTATGATTTTATACATGAGATTAGAGATTTTATCTATATTTTAAAAAATTATATAAATAAAATTTATTTATGAACTTTGATTCGATGTGTAATATAATACATAAATTTTAATTTGATGTCATTGTATACATCAAACATTGATTACGCTTCAATAACCTATAAAAAACATTGATTTTGAACCAATTATGTCCATTCATTAAAATAAAACTATCTAATTGTGTGTGTGGTAAATATAATTGTTTGTTCAAGCAATACGTAAACTTAATATAATATTACATCGTTGATGATTTTCAAAGTTAAATTAAACTAGAATTAAAATGGGTAAATTACGAATTTAGTCACTCAGCTATTGTTTTGATTCCGTTTTGATCACCCAACTATTTTTTTAAACTATTACTTGTAGACACTCATTTTCGTCCGGAGTTACTTTAATATATATATATATATATATATATATATATATATGTTAATATAGAATAATTTTTTTTGAAAATATTTTTGAAAAATATAATATATAGTTTATTAAAACAATTTTCGATAATATATATATTATATAGTTTTGAAAGCATTTTGAAAACATATATATAATATATGGCTTTTGAAAACATTTTAAAAATATATATAATATATAGTTTTGGAAAATTTTTGAAAATATATGTTATATAGTTTCGAAAACATTTTGAAAACATATATTATATAATTTTGAAAACATTTTTGAAAATATATATAATATATAATTTTGGAAAAGTTTTGAAAATATATATTATATAGTTTTAAAAACAATTTTTTAAAATATATATTATATGGTTTTGAAAACTATTTTTGAAAGCATGTATAATATAATTTTAAAAATGATTTTAATTTTTATATTATATTAATTTTATTTATTTGTTATTTATTATTTTATTAATATTTTTTTATTTTCTTTTTTCTGATTTTTTGTTTAAGGTCCAATAAGAGTGTCCAAAATGAGTTCATCAAAGGTCCAAATCTGCCTGACCCAGCAGGACAAGACCGGGTAGTCCGAATACCCAGAGGGTAAACCGGGTAAATAAGAGACCCGAGAGGGTAAACCGGGTAAATAAGAGACCCGAGATATGTTAGGGTTTCACTCTTAAGTCCATCGCCACACAATAGGGAACTGTTAGATCGAGACTAACGACCAACATTATAAGAGAGCTAAGGTTTGTTTAACCCTCAAATATCATCACGCCGCAATCGATCTTGGACCATTGGATTTGCAACCAATCCAACGGTCAAGATCAAATCCAGGAAGATTACAGAGGCTCAAAAGCCACCAATGGTAGCACGTGGGCATCACACACCGATAATATTACCAGTCGGCCAAAGATTTAAGTGATTTGAAGCGCAAAAGTCGAAGCAACTCGGACTAAACCATCTGAAATTTTTGGTCAACCAAAGATCAACCCCGAAGATCGAAATAACTCAGATTGATCCATCCGAGATAACTGGGAACAACCCCAAAACAATCGAGAACAACCCCAAAGTAATCGAAAATGGCCCCGATGGGGGGCCTGTGAATACCTTGCAAAATCAATCATCGAGGGACGGATCAAACAATAACGGGAGAATACCACAAATACAAGCAACTAAGCCACCAAGCAAAAACAAACACAAAAAGAGCAACCACACCAAAAAAACTACAAGCCTCGTGTACAAAGTAGAAAAGAAAACATCCATAGCAAAAGAAAAAAATCGAATGAAAGCAAGGCACCAAGTAGACAAAACCAAGAGGAAATTTAATATCATGAAAAGCCAAGAGCTTTCGTCGGAGGTCGCATCGGAAAACGAAATGTCCGCCGGAAAAGGTAAAAGTCGCAACTTTCATCGTAGATCTATGTCGTTTGGGGGTATTTTGAGGAGAACATTTGGGTGAAGTTTGGCGACGGAATCGTGGCTGCCGGTCGATTTTTCGAGGAGAGCTTTTTTTAAGGTTCAGAGGGTTTTTTTTGTTTTGGTTAAAAATGTTATTTTGTTTTGGGTTTGGGGTATTTATAACTGAGGGACCATTATGTAATTAACCAATAGTTAAATTATTTCTGCAGTCCCTTATATTTTGATGTGTAATTCATTTTGATCACCTATTACAAATTACCTTTGAATTTTGAATTATTTTGATTTGATCCTTGATTATACTTCTTGTATTTTGCAATTTAGTCCCCTAACCTTTTATTTTTCTCTTGTATCTCATTTTTCAGAATTAATTTGATCCATGAATTTTAATTCATTTAAATTTGGCCCTTTATATTTTTTCCTTATTCGTATTTTCTTTAAAATTTAACATTATTTTGTTTTATTTTTATTCCATTTTGTTTTATTTTTATTTTTTCTCCTGAAATTTAATATTTTCTTCTTTTGTTTTATTTTCCTTTTAACATTTTTATATATAACATTTTTTAATTTAATATTTACTTATTTGATTGATTTATTTTTCTTTTTTTAGTTAATTTTTATTTGATATTTCTTTTATTTTACCATCTAACATATTTTTGACTTTTTCAGTAATAGTTTCAATCGATCAAAGATAAGCAATTCGAATGGAATTTTTAAATTTCGATTTAAATTTTAATTTTCGTAATTAAGAAAACCGACAAATTAAAATGGTACCGAAAGGGCAGTTCAAGGGTGCTAATCCTTCCTTGACTGTAACCGACTCCCGAATCTGACGTATTTTTGGTAAAACGCAGATCAGATAAGATGGTGTTTGGTCAACCTAAATATTGTTTTTAAATTATCGGTAACAGCTCTAACATTTTTTCAAGTTAAAGCCCAATTCTGGCCTACCCGAAAGACGACTGCAACATCACTAATGATACATTTTTGTTTCATTTTAGTCATACGATGTTAAACAATTAACAATGATGTTGACGTGTTACCATTGTTGGAAAATAGACTGTTGCAAAACGAGGCGTTAGCACTGATTGAAAATATTAAATAAAATAATTAAATAGAATGATAATTGTGCTGTGGTAATCCACTGCCTTAGAAGCGAATTTGTCTCGATATGTGTAATTGCTGCAATGGGCGGTTAAAATGACTCTCTAAATTCCGTACACTCGAAAGATAGAGTAGACTTTATGGTGCTGCTCTTCTCTCAACTCAAAACAATACTCAAGGAAAATTTCCAAAGAGTGTTTCAAAGCAAACACAAATTATTTAGGGATATTTCTCTTGAAGTGCACATGAAATTGAAAATTAAACATCAATTTATAGGCTCAACAAAGAGGTTAAAATGATAAAAGATTTAATTGCAGTTACAAAATAATTAATTATCATAAACATTATAATTATTAACTATATTAAATATTTTGTAATAACTATAAATGGTAAAATAAACTCCGACAAATAATATTTTACCAAAAAGATATTGTTTTAAAAAAACACATATGGAGTTGCTCTCTCTCTCTCCCCCTCTGCCTCTTTTTCTCTTAACAATTTGTGTCATTTTTTATAGATTAAATCAACTCTTTATTCTTTGATTTTTTTAACAGACAACAACATCAGTTTTGTGTCATTTAATTATTTAAAAGATATGAATCAATCACCCGCTGATAACATTTGATAGATGAGTTGATATAACAATTAATAAAATTGATATAATTACACATTTGGTCGTTATTACTTACACATTTTATCAATTTGATCTTAATTGAAATCAAGACTACATTGATAGAATGTATAAATAATAATGACTAAATATATTATTATGCTAATTTTAGAAATTGCCACATCAACCTCTCTGTCAAATGTTAATAATAATATTAAATAGTTTGAGTGATTATAAGATAATATCTCTTTAAAATCTTTTTTAGTCATTGATAATGTGCGCACGCCATGTAAATATAGGTAATCGAACTCGAAACCTCTAAAAGAACAACACTCCATTTTACCACCAAATCCACTAAATGAATTTATAATGTTTAATACTCTTAACAATAAACAATTTTCTAGATTGTTTTAAACCAAGCTTGAATAAGAAAAATCATTAGAAGCAAACAAGGAACTTCCTATAG